GAGGGGCAGACAGACAGACAGACAGGCAAACAGATTGACAAGAAACAACCAATGGTGTTGGTTTTCACATTGGAATGGGTTTATTTACATTTCGAAGTACTACTAGCATCTGCTGTAATAATAATACATGGGTGAAGAGGGGAAAATTCGTGTAAAGTGCCTTTCCCAAGGGCACAACGTCGGGCCCGCGGCTCGAACCCCCGAGCCCGCAACCTCACGATTACGAGCCCGGTAGCCTAACCACTAGGCCACCGACGCCACTGTAAAAACTTAAGTATAAGCTTGACAGCTGCATTGATTTCTTTAAGACTGTCTTACAATTTTTTCCTGTTTGATGGCTTTCACAACCCCCTTTTTTTCACTCACGGAGTTGCTGTCAAGACAGAGCATGCTCCTGAGCGTTTGTCTGTAACGTGAAGACATTCGGTAGTAGATCGCTATATTGACAGAAGCATTCACGTTCTGAATTGTGTACTTGGCATAGTACATGATCACGTTAGTGTAGCGGTAACGTCGGTTCGCATCCAGGTCTGGAAAGAATCGACGAACTATGTTGATGGTCAGTTCTGGGACAGTGCACATGACACAAATTAACGCAATCACTATGACCATCCGCGCAACCCTTCTCTCAGGCATGTTTTTCCCACTATCAGCTACTGACCTCTGAGAAGCCGCTGCGTCCTGTGATGAACCTGTCTGGGAGTGTTTGGTCTGTGACAACCCGGCATGTTGTTCCCTCCAGGACGATGAGCTGTTCAGACTAGAGACCATTGCACATGTGCAGATGATGATGATAGTCAGGGACACTGCTGGTAAAATAGAGCCGTTCATGACACCACTTATATTTTCCATTTCGCGTCTGTTTGAAGACACCCAAAGCATCAGTCTTGTGGCATTGACCCTTGGATCAAACCTCCACTCTACTCCGAAAGTGGCATAGATGTTAGCATAACAAGCCACCATCAGACCGGAAATGAGCAAGATGTACGCGCTCGTCTTTTTTGCTGTGATAAAAGATCTGACCTTGAGAGGAACATACACGCAAAGAAATCGTTCCACACAAATATACACTGTGATCCAGGTGGACATTCTGGTAAACATGGCGTGTGGCCATGACCCTGCCACGTACACCAAGGCCAGCGGATCTATGACCGTGAACGTGGCAAATTGCATGAGACCAAAGCACACACACATATTCAGCATACATGCGAGCCCCAGCAAATCCGCTACGGCCAAAGCCATGAGACTGATTGTCACACTGTCTCTGAAACCGTGTTTGGCAAACACGACCATATTTATCATGTTGGTGACCAGGCCAACGCAGCTGAGACTGCCGTTGATGAAAACGGCCAGTGTGATCTCGACGATGCGACCTACCTCAGGACTGATCAGACCACTGTCCTCCGGGCTCGCCAGACTGGGTTCTTTTTCTTCCATCACGTCTGAAGCGTTGGAGCAGTGCGCTATATCGATATCATGACAAAGACGCATGGAGACGTTGTTGTCTGTTTGTGACGTCATTTTTCTGACGAAAAGGAGCAGTTTGGAGGAAAATATTTGGACCTCGTAGGAAGGATACCTGTTGTCACATCTAATTTCAACTGTCAGATGCACCGACCTGTTTTAGAGAGGGGTGGGGGGGGGGGGGGGT